TTTTTTTTTTTTTTAATGATTTTGAGTTTTGTTCCACATTGTTTTCCCACTCTATCCAGGATCTCCTGCACCGATCCCCCTCTAACTAGTTGACAGTGGTGCCGGGCACCATCTAGTTCTTCTTGTCCCATGGTCATATAGGTTGAAGATCGCATGTTCTACCAGTCCCTTGAAATAATTGTTTTCATGTTTCTTTGGTTTTCTTCATTCTTCTTTGCGCTGGACGAGAAGAGACCATTGATGCATATACATGGCAGCTTGTAAGCATTTAAGACCCCAGTCGCTACTCACCAAAGTAGGATGTAGAACAATGTTTTTGTGTACTATGTTATGCCAATTGAGCTTGATGTCCCCTGCAACATGGTCCCGAGCCTGCAGGCCTATCTGCTCTTCAGCAACATAATTAATACAGTCTCAAACGAACTTCGCAAGCTTTCACTTAGGCTACTCCTTAGTTTCAGAAAGCTGCCTTCTCACTCCTCCAGCCTACCATATTTCTTTCCTCTAACAGTTATTGTTGTTGTTATGTGCCGTCAAGTCACCTCCAACTCATAGCGACCCCTCCTTGGGTTTCTGAGGCGGTATCACTACAGAAGTAGATTGCCCAACCTTCCTTCCGAGGAATGGCTGGTGGGTTTGAACCACCAACCTTCTGATTAGCAGTCAAGTGCCTTAGGCACTACGCCATCAGAGCTCCTTCCTCTAGCAATACGACACTGAAATCCCAAATTCCATCTTGGGAGCTGAGGCAACCTACTTGAGTAATAAAAACTGTTTTTCCACATTTCCACTCTCATTTGAACTTGGAATTATTTCTTTACTTGTCTTAAATAATCCCCTTATGTTTCAAATTGTGGCCAACTTTTTATGTACAAAATCACATAATACAACAGAGGATGATTTTAAAGGGAGCTCTGGTAGCGTAGTGCCTAAGGCATTTGACCGCTAACCAGAAGGCTGGCAGTTCAAACCTACCAGCCACTCCTCGGAAGGAAAATCGGGCAATCTACTTCCTAGTGATACCACGTTGGAAACCCAAGGAGGGGTCGCTATGAGTTGGATCCAACTCCACGACAGTGAGTTTGGTTTTTTTTTTTTTTTCCCTTTGAATGAAGCACTTTCAAAATGTGATTTCTATGAGGTTACTAACTTCTTTTCAGTCACAGACATTTCCAAAAGTTTTATTTGGGGCCTTACTCCAGAAGACAATTTTATTGATGCAAATGACAAAGAGGCAAGTACTCAAAGAATTCCTGAGGTTTCTTACCAAGCAAATGGGCAGGGAGGTATCCAGTCGGGCTGATTCGGTTAGGGTAGACATCTATCAACTTTGCCCTCACATAGGCATGCAGCTGTTCATATAATGGTTTAATCTGAAAAGTCCAATAAGAAAGTTTAAAACTAAGCATTCACACTGAGACTATGGCCCCTAGCTGCCCTTCAAGTCCGGAATTGAACCCACTCCCATGGCTTCCAACCAAACAAAAGACAGGCATATGAGCTGAACATTTACATTGGGTAGGAGCTCTGGTAGCATAGTGCCTAAGGCACT